GGCAGGCAGCCCGCGAGCCGGCCCCAGCGCCCCGGCGCGCTGCCGAGGGCACCCGCGGGCCCGGCACCCGCCGCGATGCCCTGCCGGGAAGGGATGCCAGGTCCCCCCCTCGGTGACTCAGCCCGTGGCTCAGCACGTTGGCACAAAGGGGCCATTGAGTCGACGCGGCCGCCCCGGTGCCACCCGGCGTCCGCTGGTGCGTGGGGCTGCGGCTGGATGCAATCCCAGGGCTGCAGGCTTATTTGGGTTGATTTGGGCTTATTTGGGTTAAATACAGCCAGGCAGGGTGCTGCTCTCTGTCCCGTTCTGCAAGGAGGGTTTGCACCTCCCGGAGCAGCCCCGGTGCCGTTTCTCATAGTGGCCCCAGTGGCCTTTTGCACTCCGGGTTCCCCCTTGGAGCGATGGCAAAGCTGTCCCCATCCCAATGCCTCATCCCTCCCCTCCATCCCCCCAAACCTGCCCCTAGGAAAGGAGGAAACAGAGGCTGCAAGCGGGAGGCCGATGCTTTATTAAATTAGTGGCAAAGGAGTGAATGCAGCACGAGGGCAGGATGCAGTGAGAGGCGCCCCGGCATCGGATTCGTGCCAACTAAGGGGTGCGTGTCCAGTGCTTTAGGGTGACTGGAAGAAGAACAGGACAAAAAAAAAGGTGAGGAAGATGAAGTTGGAGAGTTTAATTAAATATTGCAACGGGCTTGAGGTGCCAGAATTATGCGGCTGTGTGGGGGGAACCTGAGCCCCCTCTTTGCATTCACTGCATCCAGCTCCTTGCTCCACTACCTACTGGGCTCCCACCCGCCTGCCTTTAAAAAGAAAAATCCACACGAACGTGTTAAGAAATCATTAGGAAACGGTGAAACGTGCCCTGAGAGGCGCCCGATGGTTGGGTGGGGATGGTGACGCCATCACTCGTCCTCCTCCGACCACAATTCCTGCTCGTCTCGGAGCTGGTCCTGCTGTTGTCCGAGCTCCTCGGTGCCCCGGGTGGATGCGGCGCTCTCGGTCCCGGCGAGCTTGGCGAGCAGCAGCGATGGGGTCGGGTTGTCCACGGCGCCTCCTCCTTGCGCCGGCTCTTCTGGAGGTGCAGCAGAGGTGGCCTTGGGCTCCGTGTGCTCCTGGCACGCGGGCGGCTGCGTCTCGCCGATGCCATTTGGAAGCTCCGGGGGAAATTCCACGTCCTCCAGCGAGGCCTCGCTGGGCAGCCCGTTTTGCTCCTGCTTCTCGGCCGGGATGCTCCCGGGAACTTGCTGCTCCGCTTCAGCTGGCCTCGCTGCCAACATCAGCTCCTGGTTGAACTCCAGGGCTTGCTCCACGATTTCCAGAATATCCGAGGCTTTCATGACATCCTCCGGAGGCAGTTTTCCAGGGAGGTCAAGCCCTTCTGCGTCACAATTTGCCCCCGCGCCACCGTCTTGGCCGGGCTCGTTGTGCCCTCGGTCATCGGCCTCCGTCTCCGGAGGTGGGTTGGCATCGGAGCACCGCTCCTCAGCCAAGGAAAGGCTCCCGCTCTCCGGGATTTCTTCTCCTGAAGGCTGAGGTGCTGGGAGCCCTTGGGGAGGGACGAGCTCAGTGGCACCAGCCGCATCCTCCTGCTGCAGGATGGGCTCCTGGGTCCCCAGCTGCCCGGACGAGCCAGAGCTCGGAGGCTCCAAGGCTCTTCCAGCCTCACTCTCCAGCTCTCCTGCCCCACCATCCTCCTCGGAAGCCCCTTGTCCCTCATGCATGCCAGGCTCCACAGCAGGGTTTTCCATGTCCTGCTCCAGCTCATCGGAGCTTCCCACCAAAAGACCCTCACCCAGAGGCTCTTCCATGGCTTCCTCCATCTCGTTGGCAAAATCCCCGGCTTTTGGCATCTCGCCTTCTTCTGGGGGCACCTTCGTGCTTTCGTCTGCCTCACTAGCAAGTGCTTCAAAGTGCTCTTCTTCCTCTGGTGCCAAAGGAGCTTCTTTGGGAGCTTGGACATCATCCCTGATGCCTTCCACTGCTCCAACTTTGATTTCTTCAAAGTCCTCTGAGATCTCACCATCTTCCAGGCTGGAGCCCTCCTGGATGGGAGCAGAAACCATGAAATAACCTTCCTCTTCCTCACCATGTTCTGCTGCAGACGCTGCCTCCATCGCTGCCGTCCCCTCTTCATGGCTGTCCTTTAAAGGACTTGTTGGCATATTGCTCCCCTCCACCTCTCCTTCGTCCTCCAAAACCATTTCAGGTCCTGGAGCTGGTTCTGTAGCATCTTCAGCAGCCAGAGGGTTGAGTTCGGGTGCGGTCATGGCCACCATGTCCCCTTTGTAGAGGTGCAGGGGGGTGTTGTCCGGCAGTGTGTCCTCCAGACGGATGCTCTTGCACATCCCTGGTTCCTGTCCCAGCTCTTCCCTTCTCCAAGCATCCTCCTCCTGGGACTCATCACCATCCACGTCCTCATCCTGCTGAGAGGCCACCTTCTCTGTCCCGTCGGGCTCCAAAGCAAGCTCCTCCTCGGCATCCTCAGCCCTTGCCTCCCATGGGATCTCTGGAGCCATGGGCAGCTCCTCGTCCCTGGACACCTGGATGGTCTCATCATGGTGGCCCTCCTGGGCTTCCTTCATCAGCTCCGGGTTCCACTCTCAGCATCATCATCATCATCACCATCTTCTCTCGTTTCCGCCAGTGAAATGCCCTCTGTTTCCTCATTTTCAGGTTCTCCTGTGCTTGTGAGCATGTCATCTGCCCCAGCTGCTTCTTGGGGCATATTGGCATCTTCTGTCCCTGGACACCCTTCTGTGTCCTCCTCATTTCCCAGGTTTTCCCACTCCTCTGGGCACTGCTTTTGGGAGCCATCACCATCGCCGCCGCCCAGGTCTTCCTCCTTTGGCAGGGCCTCCAGGTCCTCCTGCTCCACCATGTCATCATCAAAGCTGTTTTCCTGTATGTCCACAGACTCCTCCACGGTACCTTCCTCCTGCCTTAGCTCTCCAGCTGCCAGCGTCTTCCCTTCAGCCTCAAGCTCCTCTTCCTCCACTGCCTCCTCTTCTGGCTCTCCCCTTTCTCCCTGGCCATCTGTGGCCTCCTCTCTGATGGTGTCTTCTACAGGCATTGGCGAAGCTTCTTCTTCCCAAGTGCTCTCTTTGATGCTTGAGGGCTCATGTTCTGGGCACATCTCTTCCATTCCTTCTTCATCTGCAGCAGGATCTGCCCCGCACAGATGCATGTCCCGCTGCTCCAAACTTTCTGGCTCTCTCTCAACAAGATCATCTCCAGGATGGTCTTCTCCAGCTAAAACAGGGTAAGCTTCCATGGGACAAGCATGAGTGGCTTGAATTTCCTCCTGCAGAGACTCCTCTTCTCGCTCTTCCTTCACTTCTTCTAGGATATCGGACTCTTCCTCCTCCTTTGAAGGGCTCCAGGGTCTCTCCTCATCCTCCAGGAGGTCCAACGCCTCCATGCTCACAGCACCCCCGTCCTCATCTCCCTGCTCCGGCTCCTCCAGGTCTCCTCTGGCAACAGCTCCTGGTTTGGGGAGACCCTCCCTCCCTTCCCAGGAGTTGCTCAGATGCTCATGTGTCTCTTTGCCTGGCAGGCTCTCAGCATCTCCACATGCAAATTCTGATTCCCCGCTTTCCTCTGGGCTCCGAGATGCCAGTGTCTCTTCCTCTTGGCTTGCTTTCTCCTCCCAAGGTCTCATCTCCTTCTGGGTTTCTCTTTCACTTGGTGCAGCAGCAAGAAGCTCAGGTGTCCCTTGGTCCTGCTCATCGGAAGGTCCCAGCTCGTGGGACGTTGCTCCATCCTGCCAAGCGGTGCTCTCCACGCCTGCCTCCTCCTGCATGTCTTCTCCAGTCCTCTCTTCCAAGAGCGCTTCCAAATCAGTGTCCTTGGCACCATCAACCTCCTCCATGGGGTGACTGCTCCAGCTGGGGACCTCTGGTTCACTCGCTACCCCAAAGCCCTCTGTGGCCCTCTCGGCCTCACACACAGGCTCTTCTTGGGGCTGAGCATCCTCTCGCACCTCCTTGAGGGCATCTTCCAAGGCTTCGGTGACCAGCCGGTCAGGATAGAGCAGCTGTGGGGTGGGCGACTTCCCGGGTGGCTCCTCGCTGGGGTCTTGGGGTTCTTCACAAGGCTCCTTGTCCCCCTCCTTTGGCTCTGGACCTGGGGACTCGGGTGGCTCCCGAGAGCAGGGACGGGCAGATGGGAGCACCCCACTGGGTGTCCCCAGGCTGGGCGCTGAGCGAGCGGCTGTGCCAGCAGCTTTCAGCACCGGTGCCTGGAGAACCGAGTTGATTTTCTGGAACTCCCTCGTGATGGGGCTTTTGGTTTTGGGGGTGGGGGCCTTGGGGACATCGCTTTGGGTCTTTGCCAGCTTGGCCTCCGCTCTGGGGAAGATGGAGGGGCTCACGCAGAGGTCCCAGGACAGCACCCGCCGGCTCTCGGGTGTCACAGGCTGCAGCTTCATCTCCAGCTTGGCATCTGCAAAGGGCGAGAGGACCAGCTGGGATTAGCGGGGGGCATCCGCACCAGGTCCCGCAAGAACTGGGGCTCCTCCAAGGAGTCAACCTGCTGCGATGGTCCCCGTGTTGCTGAACCCCATGGGACTTGGGGGAGGCTGGTGGGGTCCTGGGGACACTCAACTTGGGGACAACCAGCTCCCTGGGACGCTCCTGAGAGGCAAAGGAGCAGATATACCTGGCACGATCTATCCCACTATGGATGTGTCCAGAAAACCAGCTCCAGACAGGCCCAGGAATCCGTTAGCACCTTCTTATCATGGGGCCACCGCTGCTAGGAAGATGCTCGTGCCTATATTGAGCCTCACGGCCTCGACCTGGCAGCGGAGGGGCTCTGAGCTTGCCCGTGGGTCTCGCTGGTGGCCTCTCTCTTACCTCGCAAGCCGTTGGCCAGCTTGTACTCGCTGGTGGGCATCTGCAGCCGGGTGCTTTCCGCTTCCAGCAGCGTCCTGCAAGGAGAGGTGTGCACTTAGCGGGGCCACGAGCGGGCACGGAGCTCCCTTGGGCTCCATCTCTCCCGCCTTGCAGGGAACCAGTCACTTGGAATCCGTTGGTGCTGCCCTTTTCCAGGGAATTTTGCTCCCTTTGCAAGAGAATTCCCACCACCGCTGCCTCAACGGGGCTCTCGTCCCATCCCCCCCAGGCTGGGATTGGTGTCTGTGGTGGCGGGTGACATCATGGACAGCCCCTATTCTCATGCTAATGGTCCCCCCAGTCCTCTCCCGGCCTCCCTTTGTCTGGGGCCATCTGGAAGGGACAGGCTGGGAGAGGGACTCTGAGGTGGCCACCACGGTGGCCCAGCCAGGGACCTCACCTGTAGGTAGCCACTTCCAGGCTCAGGGACATCTTCAGGTGCATGAGCTGCTGCCTGTCCTCCAGCACCTGGGCGATCTGCACCCGCAGGGCTTGTTTCTCCTGCTCCAGGGCCTCCAGTGCCAGCTGTGGGTGGCAAGCACAGCTGGATAAGGGCTGCTCGGCCACCCGCTCGTGTCCCCCCTTGGGGCTGGCACATGTCTGAGTATGGGACCCTTGGGTGGCACGGGCAGCTCTCACGTGTGGCTTAATCCCCCCTCTCCGTGGGCGCTCTTGCTCCCTGTCCTCATCCTCTGGGTGCTTGGGGAATACGCGCCCTGTCCCCCTTCCTGCCGTGGGGCACGGAGGATGGGGATGAGCCGGTTGTGACTTGGTGCCGGGGGCTTTCCCGGGTCCCGGAGCGTTCCGAGGGATGCTGCAGGGAGAGGGGCAGCGCGGAGGAGAGCGATGCACAGGGAACGGAGCAAAAGCAGCTGGATGCAGCCAGAGGAGGAGGAGGGAGGGGAAGGCCGGGTGGCCAGCGTGGGAAACAGCTCCATGACTCCCTTCCGCTCCCGGCACCCGCCGGAGCTGGAACAAAGAGGGAGCCCTTCCCCACCGTCCCGGCCGCTCCCGTTGGAGGGGCCTGGCCATTCCCGGCATTTCCAGCCCCCTCTCTCCACCGTGGCCTCTCCGCAGCCTCCTCCGCTGAATTTGTTGTCGGGCTGCAGTGGATCCGCCTGGAGTTTGTCCTTCCGTGAAGCCACTGGCCTGGCCCTACTCCTGCCTCCCGGCATCTGGGAGGGGAAGCTGCTTCCTTTGGGAAAATCCACTGTTTCCCAGGGGGAAAAGCCTCCTGGCTGGTGGAGAAGGCAAGTCGGGGCACAGAGGGGATCCCCTGCAATGGTGCTGCCTTGGGTCCCTCTTGTCCCGGGGCTGCTTTTCCTCCCACCCTCTTCCTCCCTTCCAGGGGCAATGTCCCGAGCCGTCCTCAGCTTCGCCATCCTCCCCGTGCCTTTTCCTTCTGGGATTTGCTCCCTCCTTGTCTTCACCTCCACCTATCCAGGATGGGGGTGCCCTGAGCCCCCTCCTGGACCCACAGACATCCCTGTGATGGGGTGTCCCTCACCTACCTGGAACTTCTCAGCCTCCCCTCTCTGCTCCTGCCACTGCCGTGAGAGACTTTCCTCCAGCAGGTCCTTGCGCGCCTTGAGCCCCACCAGCTCCTTCTCCAGGTGCTGCAGCTGCATCTGGCTCTGCTGGTTGTCTTCCACCGCCTTCCACAGGTTCTCCTTGGCTTGACACAGGGAGCTCTCCAGCTGGGACACCTCCGTCTTGTAAGTCTCCACGGCCCCTTTCCAGATCTCCGAGAGCCTCTTGGAATAGTCCTCCACCTCCACAGGCTGGAAAGCCACGGGCACACAGCGGAAGCTCTCCAAGCTCTGCGAGAAGCTGGCGAGCTCATGGTCCAGCCCTGCTTTCTCCTCCTCGTGCATCTCCAGCAGCGCTTCCACCTCTTTCTCCAGGTGTAGGGCTCTCTCCTTCAGCCAGATCTGAGCTCTCTGCTCCTCTTCCAGCTCCTTCTTGCTCGCAGACAGCAGCTTCTTGGCTTCTTCGCGAGCCGCTTGCTCCTTCTGGCACCTGCTCTTCACGTACTGGATCTCCTCGTAGAGGTTGTCCCGGGCCAGCTCCGCAGACCACTTCTCCCTGAAGGCATCATCCAGCGCGGTCCGCAGGGCTCGCAGCTCCTCCTCGTACTTGCTCCTCCACGAGTCCTCGCTGGGACTTCCCTTGGCGTTCTGGATCTCGGCTCTCAGCACCTCGTTCTCCTCCTCCAGGAACTTCACGCGGGCCAGGTAAGCCTCCAGGCGCTTGTTGAGGTCCCACATCTGCAGGGACTCCTCGCCCAGGCCTCGGGCACCCACCAAGCTCTCCATGCTCAGCATCGCCACTGCCCCGGAGCCCGGATCTCCCGGATCGCTGCCCGGATCTCCCCCCGGCAGAGGGAAAGCGGCTGCCGGAGTGAGTGGATGTGAGCGGAGCGGCTCCGAGCTATTCATACCCCACCACGGGCGAGGGGGAGGCCCCGGGCGCCGCAGCGCCGATTAACTCTTCCGCCGCCAGCGTGCGCGAGCATCCTGTGCGCTCCGGAGCAGGGATCGCTCCGGTGAGGCTTGGAACAGCCCTTTGGGGACATTTCCAAGAGAAGAAACCCATTCCCAGCGAGGGAATTGGCAGAGGATGCGGATGGGGTGTCACGGATATCCCCAGCGGAGCGCCTTCCTCCTCACGCTGTGCTAACCCAGCTGCAAACTTCCAGCTGCAAACGCCTCTCTTCCCAGATGTTGCACAGCTGGATCCGACTGGGATCTTGTTGCGGGTCGATCCTGGTTCCACCGACACTCAGTAGCCGTTAGCCAAGTGTTCCCTTCTGCTTCTGCCTCTCTCCTGCATGGGGCAGCTCCTTCCCGGCGGGATGGGAATTGCTTCCCGGGGAGCGTTTTTCAGGGGGAGGAGGTTTATAGCTTCCAGATGATTTATTTGCAGGGGGGAAGGGTTTCAAACTCGAACTGTGGGGATTTCTGCAAACAAAAGAACCAACGATTAAAAAAAATAAAAAAGAAGAAGTTTTAATGGGGATTCTCCCTGGCTCCTTCTTTCCTGGGGATTTTCCTCTCCGGGGGGGAAGGGGGATGTCCCTGCTCTGTCCTCATCCCATGCAATGTGGCAAAGAGCCAGCATCCCCCTGCGGGAGCCCTGGCTCCTGCCACCCTGGTGCCTCCGGAGAGGGGAACAAGAGTCCCCTCTGCTGGCAAAAGCCACCGGGAGCCGCCACCGCAGCCGCATTGTCCCCAGCACCGCTGGGGTGGCCATCCCAGCGCGGCTCCCCAAGGGATGCGCTTCCTGGATGGATCCCGGCCCATTCCCCCAGCCGCGGCTTAGGACGGGAATGCCATTATGTGCCAGCCATGGGGGCCCATCCTCTCCCAAGGGATCCGGCGCTGCGGATCTGCATCTGGGTTGCATTCCTTCCTCTCTCTCCTCCTCCTGCCTTTCCCCATCCATCCTACCTTTCCCATCCACCCTGCCCCTCTATCCTACCTTTCGCTGTCTATCCTGCCTTTCCCATTCATGTTGCCCTTTCCCATCCATCCTACCTTTCCCATCCAACCTACCTTTCCCATCCAACCTACCTTTCCCATCCATCCTATCTTTTCCCATCCATCCTATCTTTTCCCATCCATCCTACCTTTCCCATCCAACCTACCTTTCCCATCCATCCTATCTTTTCCCATCCATCCTGTCTTTACCCATCCATTCTGCCTTTTCCCATCCATCTTGTCTTTCCCTGGGGCACCATCCATTGGCAGGGAAGCTAAGGCAGTCCCTGGGAACTGCTGCTTGCTAATTAAGGGATGCTAATTGGGGCAGGCTACCTATTCCCGCTGTCCTGCTTTTTGCTTTTTTTTTTTTTCTCCTTTTTTTCTTTTTTTCTCCACCAGGGCTTTTTCCGGCTCAGTTTTCTCTCAGCACCCTGTGTGGGTGCCAGGCTCCCAGGATCCGCAGGAGCATCCGAAGGGAGCCGGGGCCGGAGCATCCGCAGTGGCCACAAGGAGGCCCCCAGGGCTCGCAGCTGTGCTGGGAGCTCCAGCCCTCTTCCTGTTCCCGTCTCCCTCCATCCCTCTTCATGCCTTTTCCGTGGCTTTTCCTGGTCTCCCCTCGATGGCCAAACTGGGACTGTCTGTCTGGGAGCAGAGCTACTATTTGGGAAGTCCCCTAGGGACAGAGGAGCCCCTGGGATGGGCATGTCCATGTGTCCTGGAGGGATGCTGGGGATTGGGAGCCTCTGGGATAGGGATGTTCCTGTGTCCTGGAAGGATGTTGAAGGGCAGGAGTCCCTTGTATAAGGATGTCCAAGTGTCCTGGAGGGATGCTGGGGGGAGGGATGCTGGGGATTGGGAGCCTCTGGAATAGGATGTCCCTATGTCCTGGAGGGATGTTGAAGGGCAGGAGTCCCTGGTATAGGGATGTCCATGTGTCCTGGAGGGATGCTGGGGGCCAGGAGTCTCTGGGGTGGGGAATTTAGGGATGCTGAGGGGAATCCAGAGTCTCTGGAGCCAACAACATCCATGTGTCCCTGCAGGACATTGAGGGTCATGAATTCCCTGGCATGAGGATGCCTGGGATGATGGGGTTTAGGAGTCCCTGGAGCTGGAGATGTCCATGTGTATTCCCAGTAGGATATTGGTAGTCTCCAGAATTGGCATGTCCAGGATGCAGGTGGTCGGGAGCCCCTGGGGAGCCTGTGTGTCCCTGCAGGAGCCCCTGGGATGGGGCTGTCCTGGATGCTGGTGTTTGGGAGTCCCTGGAGCTGCGGATGTCTGTTTCCCTGTGGAATCAGGAGTCCCCCAGGATGGGATGTCCAGGATAGTGGAGGTCGTGAGCTCCTTGAGATGGGATATCTGGGATGCCAGGATCAGAACTCCCTGGGGATGCCCATGTATCCCTGCAGGATGCTGGGGTCAGGACTCTCCAGGACAGGAATGTCCGTGTACACCCCTCCCCCCAGGCTTGGCTTTTCCCGGTTCCCAAGGGGATACAGGGGAACTGGGAATTGCTGCTCTGAGCCATGGGCATGTGGGACACGTGGCATCTGGGGGCTGGTTCGGTGCCAGGGAGCTCAGCATGAGGGCACACGGCGGGCACTGGTACGTGGCCACCAGCAGGACCCAGGGCGAGGAGGAGGAGGACAGCTGGGCCATGGGGCTCCTTTCATGGCACCGTGACAGGCAGCAACGCAGCGCAGCTGTTTGCCACGAGGGCCACCTGTGGATTCTCTGACGTCTGATAAGGGTTGTGTGCCCATCCCCACCCTTCCCTGGCCGCTCCTCTCCAGCTCCAGGAGCTTGAGGGTCTCCAGGAGACCCATGGCCATAGCACAAAGCTCCCAGGAAATCCAAGAGTGGAGCGGCATGGAGCGCTGGCAGGAACACTTGGTCTCAATTAGGGCTCGTGATGCTCCTTGCTGAGCTTGCAGTTTGGCTCTTCCCCAGGCTTCACTGCTTTGCCACAAGCATTCCCGGCAACGGATGTGATTCACCAGCTGAGGAGCTGCTGCGGTGCTGGATCTGTGGGATTTTAGGGATGCGGGTGCCAGCTTGCAAGCAGCCCTTAATTATTTCCCTGGCTGACCAGTGATTCCCTGGCCGTGCTGGGGAAAAGGAGTCATGTGCAGGGGAAAGTCTGAGCCCAATGTGGCTTTGAGCACCTTCCCCAATGATTCCCGTTGGAAAAGCAAGATTGGGCTGGAGCGCACGCCGGGATGCCCCTGTGTGTGTTTTCCACCCTGTCCTGCCCTGTGAGGCTGCATTGCCTCTGTATAACAGGAGCGCTGCTGGAATTTGGCTGAACCAGCCCAAAACGCACCCAGCTCCAGGGCGGGCAGCGGGTGCCAGCTGGAGCGGATCAGAGGGACCCCTCTTGTCCCGTGGCACCCCCTCCATCACCTCCATGCACGACAAAACCCTCCTGGCTACCAAAAGCCCCTGCACGTTGCCCCCCAGCTCCGCCAGCCGCGCGGATGCTCGGGTACCCGGAGCGCTCACTCGCCTTCCCGTGCTGCATCCGCCTGGCCGGAGCATCCTCCGCTCCCTGCTCGGGATACTGCGCTGCCTCTTGGCAGCTGCCAGGAGGGAGGGAAGGGGAGGGACGAAGCACTTGCCAGCACAGTAGTAATTTTTTTCTCTCTCTCTTTAATTAGGGGAAGGAAGAAAATATAAAAGGAGGAGTGGAAAAAAAAAAAAAAAAAGGAGGAGCGGATACGGACACACACGGCGCTCTCCTCTTTTCCCGGCGCCTGCACTTATGCCCGGCGCCGCTCGCTCCCAGCCCCGCTGCCATCCCGCTGCCCGGCGCATCCCGTGCCTGCGCGTTCCCTCCGGAGCTGCAGCCCGGCTCTGCGGCGCCGCGCGCCTGCAGCCCCCCCCGGCTCCTCC